CTTCACACAATCGAATAAATAAAATCAAACAATTCAATAAATCATACCAATCTAATAAGAAACCATATCCTAAAAACCCAAAAAATGATCGATTTGGTTGATTTATGAGATATCCAACCCATAATACTTCGATTTGGAGATATTTTGTCTAATTAGTTAAATGACTGCAAAAATTTGCTTTTGTTAGCAAAATTGATTGTCGTTTCATTGGTTAGAAATGGCCTGCGTATTATTTTGGGATAATAGTTGGAATAATTGTTATTTTTCAATTAATTATTAGATTCATTTGAAAGGTATGATTGTATATAAACTTCTTGCTTAGTCAGAATCTTTGCAATTTAGATGGAAGGTATAGATATCCTTTCGTAAGGGTTGGTAAAGTTTGATATCAAAAGAGTCATGCAAATTTAATTTTTTCTTTGCCTTTCAAAAAAACAACAAACGTAAAATAAACACACATTTATTAAAAAGGGTAATCATATAGATAATACAAATTTAACACAAGAATATCATTTTAATAATAATAATACTAACCATAAAACTGGTAATAGTTCAATAAGATATAAAACATAAAGAGGAAATGAAATAAAAAAAAAGGAATAAAACATTGTTTTTTCAAAGAAATAAGAAAGAAAAACAACAAAGTTAAAAAAGACTAATGTACAACAAGAATTCAAAGTGTTTCACACACCAATAGGGAATCCAAATATACTTACTTGGAAGCTTTCTTGGTGGTCTTCTTGGTAGCAGTAGCCTTTTTCTTTGGAGCAGCAGCAGCAGCCTTCTTTGGAGCAGCAGCCTTCTTGGTAACCTTAGGCTTTTCAGTAGCAGCCTTCTTGGTAACCTTTGCCTTTTCAGTAGCAGGAGCAGTTGCGGTCTTTTTAACAACCTTCTTTTTTTCAGCAGTAGCAGCCTTCTTTGGAGCAGCAGCCTTCTTGGTAACCTTGGAAGCAGCTGGCTTTTCCTTCTTGGCTAATTTAACTGGACCGGAAGGACCTTTTGGTTGTAAAAAGTCACCAGTTTCAACACCTCTTCTTAAAGCAGCATTGAATAAAGCGTCAAAGTTAGCAGCCTTGAGATCATTGTTAGCTTGAACGTATTTCTTGATAGCTTGACGACTAGAATGTTTTGTTAGTTAGTATTAGAGATAATTGTGTGGGTGTGGATGTGTGGTTTATGTTTTCCAAATGTGGTCATTCAAAAAAAAATCAAAACAACAAACTCACAACAAGAAAAATGAAATGATGATTGGGGATACATACGAAGAACCGTTTCTTTCCTTTAAGGTAACGATAGCAGACTTGATCATGTCTAGAAATAGGATGTTAGTATCATTTTTTGGATAAAGCTTTCGTAGGGAAACCAATTGGAAATATCTTTCTGAAATGGTCTACCCCTTTTTCAGTTTTTAAGGAATGTTTATTTTATTCTCTCTCAATTGCGATTTGACATACCCTTGTAAGTAACCTTTGGAGCAGTGGAAGTAGGAGCAGAAGCTTTAGCAGTTTTAGTAGCAGCCATTGTAGATAATAGTAATAGGAATAGTTTGTTGTTGTTGTTGTTGGTAAAAGAAGAAGAAGAAAGAAAGAAAGAATTTATAAAAAAAAAGTTTGTTTTGTTTTTTGGGGGGGAAGTGTAAGTGAAGTAAAATTCGTAAACACATTGACAGAATGTGAAGCGTGAATTGAATTAGAAAAAATGCGCGCGAGGAACAAAAAAAATTGAGAAAATCAAAACAAATAAAACTTTTCTAATAATAACAAAAAATAAACTATCATGGGATTGTATCTCCAATTTTGTGTGGTAATGAAACAGGTGTAAGAGAGCTCCAAAATGCTCATTATGAAGTAGCCAATCGTCTCTATCTTCACGCAAGAATGTGAGATAAAGAAAGAAGAAAGAGTAGACAAATTCTAGGCTTGATAAATTCACCTCTAAGATAGAGTGTATAAGAAGCCCTTGTTCGGAGGGAATTTCAAGCGAAAGATTTCTAGAGCCACTAAATTTCAATTAAAGTTTCACTACTTCGTCAATTGACGCCTTTACGTCTCTATCTCCCTATCTCCCAACTATGACGCCCCCACATTCCCAGATCCAGTACTTTCTTTAACTGCTATGTTAAATACAATCCAGACTCAACATTGTGGCTTTTAAGTCTGTCTTTTTACACTACTCGACAAGTTTCCCCATAGGAACTCTCGGGATTGAATAAAATTGTTATTCTTCATAAATTCTTTATTCTTCTAAATCATTAAAAATCTATAAGCATGATAACAAAAAAACAAACCACTATTCTAATTAAATAGTCCTTGTTTTCTCCAAATAATATATTTATATACATACAAGCAATTTGTAATTGTCCATAATGGTCCATCTCTTTCATCTAATTAGTCATCCAGCTTTCCTCCTCTATCCAACTGGGCCCATTGGGCTCACGCTGTACATGAGCCTTCCTCTAATGTTTTTTCGGGAAGAATTGACTTGTCTTCTATGGACATACTTCTTGTTCTAGCCATTGATGATATTCATCATTTTCATAAATATATCTTCTATCTTTATCCAATTCATAAAAATCCACATAATCAACAAATAATCCAACAACAGCAAAATTTTTCAATCCAGCTTCATCTTTCTTACCATCAACTCCACGATTAATTGAACTAATTAATTTTGCATTAGCATCAGTTATAGGTTGTTTTGGAGATGGTTTTCTAAATGATTTTTTCAATTGTTTTGATAATTGATTCCATTGTCTTTCAATTTCTTCATGCCATTCATCTTCAGTTGGAGGAACAAATTCTATTGATGTATAATCATCGATAATACTATAACTTGCTATGCTTGGAGATAATATTGGGGAAGAAATTGGTTGTTTTTGGACTTCAATGTGTTGTACACCATTACCGTTTGTTTTAGTATGATTCATAATTGGTTCTTCCTGTCGTGGTGTTGGTACTATTACTTCTTCTTCTTCTTCTTCTTCTTGTTGGTGTGATTGTTGTGATTGTGATTGTTGATCAGTGGCAGTTGTCATAATCAGATCTGTATCTTGCATAAATTGACAAAGTGATAAAGCATCTAAATCAATAATTGGAAGATATTCATCACTAATTATTCTTGCTTTACCTCTAAATCTAAATTGTTTCTTGATATGACTAAAATAAAATACTGCTTCAAATTTATCATTAGCTAATAATTCTCGATATTTATTCATTCTTTTATCAGTTGTGAATGTAATTACATTTGATGATTTATTATTAAATAACCAACCTCGATAAACTAAAGTTCTATTATGAGGAAAACCAGTTTCATTATCTATAGTGGCTAATTGGAAAGTTATGAATGGTTGTTTATTATCACTAGCTGCAAGTTCACGATCTATGCAATAGTTGAAGCTAGAAACCCATGGAGCTTGATAATTGCACTGTAACATATGGGAAATGTGGAAAAATACCAAGCGATTTTTATACCTAAGATCAGATGATGCGCTTCTTTAAAAAAAAAATACTCGATGGGGGGGGGGCAATATGGAAGTTATTATATCTTTATGAGGTTCCAATGAATGTATATACTAATACATAGAACTACCAAATGTAAAATGGAAATATTACCTTTGTAGATGAATTAAAAAATCTTTATAAAAAAGTGAATTAAAGTGAAAAGTGAAAGAAAGAGAAAGAATATTGGGTTATTTTTATAATTCAAAATTTTTTTATATTAATTTTTTTTTCTAATTATTTTATTTTATTTTAAGAACTGCCCGACGACTGAACTGTTGGAAAAAAATAAAATAATTTTATTCAAAGAGTAAAACCTTAAATTACGTTGATGAGTTTTTAATTAGACACAAATTTATTCTCGGTTTTATTAATTATTAATTATTTTCTTTCTTATAATACATGATAACACAAATTACTCGATGTGTCAAAATGTATACAGAATTAGAGATAGAGAGAGAAGCTAATTTGATTTGTTTCATGTGTTTAATGTGTATTTCTCTTCGGAGAAAGTGGCAATTAAATTGACCTATATGTGTGAGTGTGAAACAATAAATGGCAAATGTGGAGTACTGTATATTGTGTTAAATTGTTAGCGAGAATTGTAAGCTTTTTTAATTTAATAATTTATCATTTAAATTAAAAATCGGGTGCCCCTTCATTGTATGTTTCTAACCCTGCCCATCCCCCCTTCCAAGAGAACTTAAACATCAAGAAGTGTTTAATAAGTTGTTACTATGTCAACTTGTATTTTGGTCGTCATATTTACTGGTACATGTGTTACCTGTCAATTTAAGTTATAAGTCATGTGGAACTACAAGACTGTCGTCCCCTCTGTAACCACACTCGTAAAACAAAATCAAACTAAACAATAACCAGAAATCTAATACAATAGGAATCACAAAAATCATAATTTCTGTTTATTGTTAATTATTTTAGATCAATCAATAGAAGAAAAAAAAGCCCCGTCCCCTTAATCAACGTGGGCCCCGTCAATCCAAACCAGCAATCTCTTTTTCTTTTTAATTAATATGATTCCATCTTTATTAACACAACAATACGATTGGTATTATTATAATTTAGTAATAGCATAGTGCTGAACTCAAGTTGGTTACCGGATTACTTGGTGTCGTATGATTCAACACATGGTTATTCGTGAAAGTATTAATGTCGAGTTCGTAGTACGATCATTTCTACTTTCGTTTTTGATAGAGACAACGTTTAACCAATTATGCGCATTTCATTTCTATTGGGAAGGGGCCGCCAGTTAGGTTCTTATTTTGTACTGCTCTCCTTTCCTCTCCCCCTTTAAATCGCATTAACTCCCGCAGAGTGATGACTCCTGGTTCTCATCGATGGCTGATATTGGATTTTTTACAACCTAGGATATCAAACTATACAACAAGCAATACAACAGGAAATGAAAATATTATTGATGGATGACTTCCTGCCTGTTTCTCTTTTGGATTCTTCCTTTCTACTCAACATTAACCCTTCTAATCGTTATGTAAATCCTCATAAGTCTTTTCTCTAAACGCTTGTTTGCCTGAACAGGACTACTCCGTAAAATTGTACAAAATACAAATAAATCAGAACGTCCACTACTTTCATTGGAGGCTATTCCTAAATAAAAGTAGGTCACAAAAAAGAAGAGATACCTATGAGTTGACATATCTCTGGGTATAATACAGTTGATCTCAGAATATCTTATTTTACTAGTTTAATGTGCATTGGAAATACAGACGAATCTCTTGCAGAGTCTGGTTTGAGGTGTTTCCAAATATTACTCCTGGAAATTCACATATATCCCAATAATATTTTATCTGAAACTATAGACTTTCTATCCTAATAAATATAAATATATTAAGGAAATTCCTAAGTAAAGAAGAAGGCGTTAAAAGGAGATTAATGAAACAAAAATATGTTAAATTCGCAACAAATTTAGTTTTTTTTTGTAATGCAAAGGTATAAAGATTAACTGGGTGCAAAAAGATTAATTAATATGCCAATAACAAATATGTCTATAAACACTCTTTACAACTTCAAAAAAACCCATAAAAACTAATCATTGCTACGATAGCTAACTAGAGCAAAAACACCACTCCAAATCACTTCTCATATGTCATTCCATCAACGATCACCATTAGATAATCTTAGTCCAATAACATACACAAAATGTAAATTATTACCCACCAAATCAATCTCCAGGGGTCAATTTCGGGGATTTAATGATATTCGTCGTTTTCATTGCTATAATCCATTTTGTAATACCAATTCAAGTGAATTCCAATTATGTGAATATTGTCGTCATGTTCCTTATGTTTCTCTGCCTTTAAGATATTATTCTCATTCCAATACAACTATCAAAACGGAATTTATGATTAAGACTGGATCAAGTGTTTCTTCAGGTTCTACTGTTAGTTCACTTAGTTGTACTAATACTTCCAATCGGGGTAGTTTTATGCAAAGAAAAACTCCACCTATATCACCAATTAAAACTGCAATTACTACAGCAAATACAACAGCTATTAGTCCCTTACAACCATCAACTTCCCCAACAAAGATAATGCTAACTGCATCAAATGCTAAAGAGGATTTAAGTAGTAAAATCAATGAGTTTCTTGATCATCTTGAAGTAAGTAAACATCAATTCAAACAAAGAATAATGGATATGAAACAACAAGGAAAATTACAATTTTCTAAACGAAGATCAATATCTCAACCGCCACCCAATAATAATAACAACAATCATAATAATAACAACAATCATAATAATAAAAACAATAATGAAAATTTCGTGGATCTTTCAGGAAATAGAACGACAAAACAACATCGTATAAATAATAATAACCATAATGGATACTCAACTTGGAATTCGTGTTAGTTTCCAACTTTTCAAATCAGTACGATATTTAAGTTCACTAATCAACCCATTCAATTCTCGAGTATTCTCATCATCATCATCACCACCACCAACGGGCCCACCACCACTTACGCTGCCACTGCCACTCCCTCCAGCTAGTCTCCCATCATTCCCGGTCTTCACATATTCATCATAATGAGCTTTAAGCTTCTGATTTATTCCATTTGGATTCGTATTAGATTCAAAAATATCATTTATGCATTGTTCAGGAGTATATTCTAACAATTTAGAAAGTTCAGGATCCCAATTACTTTCCAATACTTTACAATATAAATGACTAATCAATGGATCAACCATAATTTGTTGTTTTACAGGCGCCGTCGTCACGACAGGTACTCCATCCATTGCTATATCGGTATTCACTTGGGGTAATCTATTACTAGGTGCTGCTATTTGTTCATCAATTGATGCCCGGGAAGAAATGGGCAGATATGCCGTTGAACTAGCGGCTGCGGGGCGGAGACTGGGACTTGCTGGAGGAGAAACGACACCACTACCACCACTGCCATTTGAAAGCGGTTGTTGTTGTTGTTGCTGTTGGGAAAAGGTTCCATTTTGTCCAAATACGTTGGTGATTCCTCCAAAGACATGTTTTCGTTCAAATTGGGGGATATTGAAAGTGTTTCGTTTGAGGGCGGTTGTTGTGGTTGGGGTGGTGGTGTTGCCTGTTCTGGATAATGATGATGTGTTTGATCGTTTGGTTCTGGTTGAAGATACGGGAGTTGTTGAACTGATGTTGTCTTTAATTTGTAACAGGGTATGAAAATCAAATGTGGGTGGTAATTCATTTAAATCGATTGTTAAACTTAATATGGAATTTACTTTGGATTCATTTAATAGATATTTTGTAGTTACTGGTTCATCAAAGTTTAAATATTCTGCTAAATTGATATCTAATCTTCCTAATTCGGTTATTTGAGTATGGGTTTTTGACGAACCTGTCGATGAACCATTCTCCAGATTACTTTGATGATGATGGTGATGACTATGACGTTCAATTTCACTTACATAAAATATTTTAAGTAATAGATACTTGTTTGCAATTAGATTCTTTTTCTTTTTCACTCCGAATTTCAAATTGCATGATAATTTATAGTTAAATATACATTTAAAATTATGCAATTTCTTTCTTGATGTAGTTGAAGAAATATTCCCTGAACTGGAAGTATTCGCAATTGAAGTGTCATGTATTGATGAAGAATTATTATTTGCAGTAGATGATGTAGAACTTGTGCTTCCATTCATTGAAGTTGAAACTGATGCATCATCGGTCTTCTTTATTGTAGATCGTTGTTTACTGATGGTTGATCTTGATAAATGTGGGATTTTTCGTTTAGCATCTCTAATTTGTAATTCAATAAAACAAGAACCACTTATTTCTGGGATATTTGTAAGTTCATTGATAGTTAAATCAAATGAAAACTTTGGTTTGTTTGACGATATAAACATTGGCATTGTTGGTGATGGATTCAGATATCAAAAGATGATGGTCGCGATTGAGACTTTCAATTAATTCGAAATGTGTAAACTTGAAAGTAATGATAGAATAAAATAAGAAAGGGGTCCTTAGTTCTTCCTATATCGATAAGCTCTTTGTGATAACCTCTTTGTTCTAATAGATTCTCTCAAATGGCAACAACGTAGTTTGGAGAAAATTATATCCCCCTGGCTGGTTAATTGATAACGTATTTTTTTTTCGTCGTGCAGCAATTCGATATTGTATGAAATTTGAATGAATTCGTATAACTTCCTTGATATAGGCCTTACAGAGAGAATCTGACGTAATCACAATGCTAACAGATGATGTCACGATAAATTGCCCCATAGCTAATAGAGGTAGAGTACCCATTGTATATTTCCACTAAGAATTGTGTTTTGTGTCATAAACTCCTCCTTTTTTTTTACATATACAATCTGTTTATTGAGTTCTTATACATACTAACATACAGAAATATAACAAACAGAAAAACAATATACATTAAAGGCAAAAAGCATCATTGCCTAAAACCTCATTCTCCTGTCATTACCCCTAGATTGCACAACAGAAATGGTACTATAGCAATAGATTTGGTATTTATCCAATTGTTATGAACATTGGAAGAGATCCGAATTAATAATTAGGGTACTTCCTGGTGGTTTCCCACAAAAAAGTAGGGATGTGCATAGGATGGTGTCGAACATAAGATCCCATTTTGCAAAAAAAATAAGCGTTTTTACCAGTGCAAACACTAACTAACTAGGCCAAATCGTCGCAAGGTGTTCAAAAATGTCTTAACGAATTGGGCGGTCAGGGCAGGGCACGTGAAATGCACGTGAAAAGTCATGTGATTTGTGTCACCTGATCTTAATCTAATTTAACATGAATTCGACCCTTCCTTTAGATCCAAGGAAGGAAGGTTATATGAATTGGTTTATACTCTGATGTAGCTTATACTATAAATCTATGAAAGGTGAAATAAGTGAAAATTTGATCTGCTTATGAATTTATTCTCCCAGGAGAAAACAACTGGAGCTTGGATAAAAGGAAAGACCTTTGATATTAAAGCACGGCTATGTCCAATGTTCTATATGATTTAAGGAATGTCACTGACAGTGTGGTTCATTTCATTGGTGATTGACATCTGTAGTTGACCCATGTTTTTGTGGTTATGGAACTTACAAACACAAGTTTACAGACACAGAAAAGATGTTTACAAAGAGACTTGATAATTGGGCGACCAGTTCAACTTATCTTCAATACAACCACAACTGTTCCTCAAATCAGACTCAAGATATCCCCAACTCCTGAATTTCCCCCATAGCCGATCCTTATGATTTGAATTATTTAGAGGTTGGTTTCTGTGTGTGTTCTCTAGTTGTGGTTGCAAAGTTTACAAATAGAAGTTTAGATACCTAAGCTTTTAAATGGAAATTTACAAAAAGAACTCCTCAGAAACGCATGAACTAGCATTCTGGGAAAAATATACAGCCATTGTCAAGCTTAGGCTATTAGAACCGATAGTTATCTTCCGTGCATGAAGTATAAAATGACACCATCTTTGACATATTTTATCGCCATGGCTCCCGTCTTAAGGTCGTGGTGACAACTGTTTTGGTTAAAATATGGGTTGTAATAGAAGCTTGCAAAAGTCAGGAACGAAAGATTAGCTTCCGATCCTGAAGGATGGTACGGCGTTTATTATTATTGCGTTTGCTTCATCAATAACGTTTTATGATTTAAGGGTCCCCTTCTTGTGGTAGTACTTCCTACACCGCTATATCATTAGAGATCTTACAGATCAACTACATGTATGGGCTGAAGGTTTTGTATTCAGTGAACAATGTTAGGGCCCATTGTTGAGTTCATAACAAAATAGTCAAATTACAGAGAAATTATGAAATATAAAACACACCTACCTATCTCTGTATGTTCTATTTTTTTTGACCAGAAGTATCGTAACCATCGTTGTCTTTTTTGCAACCAAATCTGAAAAACAGCCTACCCCCATTAGACAATCTATTCGCTGAAACTCTGGCAGAAAAAATCGTTCTGTTAAAGGGTTGAGTGTCTAAGGACGAGTCAATTGGGTGTCTAAGATAAGATACCAACATTGCTTGAACAAGGGAGTTTTAGGCTACTATGCATTTCAAGTTTATAAAAAGTTTAACCATTTTTCTTGGTTTTAGAACAATGGCGATCAAGATATTTTTTACTTTTGTGCTATCAAGTAGATAGTGATTGGCTGCAAACACATCCCAACATGTAGCTTTACGCATCAAAGATAAAATAAATTTACGCGTTTTAAACTAACAATGGCATGCGAGATGGTCTTTTGTACGTGTCATTTAGGTGCGGCGGGCTTTTGCAAATAGAGATGTCGCTGGTTGACGATTTTACGTTTGTCGTTTTTTAGAGAGAGCGACAAAGCGTCTTCTCGGCTATATATTTTGGTTATTATAAACTATTAAAGGGGGCCCATTTCGTTTTGCTAAAATTCAACTGGAAGCAGTCCATTACCAACAACCCGATTGTCCACGAGAACGTGAAATCCGAGAGGAATAGATATCTTGGTATTCTATGTCATGTTTTTTATCTTCACCAGGCGTATAGTGGCTAATGGAGTGAACATATGTTAGTCTATAGCACCATCTAATTTAGTCTGACACACGCAATCACGATAAAGAGGGGCGGCAGAACTTGCAAAAGTTCGAGAACAGAGAATAGAGTTTAAAATGAGACGACCAGACACCGAAAAGGGCTCTGCCAAGGCATATCTACCACCAAATGTTGAATCATGTGCTTGTAAGGATGAATTCTGAGTTATGCATTACAGTGCCTTGTTCGGTTTTTCATTGGAATTTTTCGAAAACTTTCGAAAATGGTCTCTGCGGTTTTTGTTACTATCGAAGGAAAATAGACGTGATTCATGTCAAGTAAGACGCAACAGTTGTTCTTTCTTTTTGTTCAAAGAAGCTTATGCTGTACAAGTTTGTATTCTTTACGACGAATTAACCTCGGAATCAAAAATCGCGTCTTTTGGCTTTTCCATTCCTCTGATGATCCAAATTTTTTACGCGAATGCGTAGCTGAAATATCAATCATGGATCTATAAAGATTCAAATCTAATAATAGGCATAGAAGGATGAATGATACATTGTACTAACCTTCTCTATTAGATTATTAAGATGGTTTCATAATGGTATGAATGAATGAAACAGGAGTGTATATAAATAAAAATACTTCGATAACTTAAGCGAACTGCAAATAATAAATTTAACCACTTTAAAACATCCAATCTTACATACATAAATACGTTTTGTACCAAAAAATTTTTTTTTTTACCCTTTCGATTTTTTTTTTTTTTTTTGGTTGATTTTTTTTTTTAAGATAATTTGTTTATTTTTATATTTCAGATTGAATTTTATTTTAACCACATTCACTTATCAACTTCTGTTAATCGTCACTATTCCTACTATTAATAATCACAGAAGTAATCATGTCTAGGGGATCTATTGTATCTGCTGTTGAACAACGACAGTACGTGTCTACTCAACAACAGCGATCTTACTTTCAATATCACACTAGTAAGCGTAAGGCACCGCGATCAGAAGACATTTTTATAACAAGTGACAACGCGGATACAGACCAAGAGACCATTGAAAATATGACTGATTCAATGCAGGCATTATTGCTTCCCGAAGAATTCAATAAATATAAAGTCATAGGCTTAATATTAAAACAGTTTCTTAATTTGGGGGATCCTGCCGCTATACTTGACACGAGTGATGAATCACATCCCGACTTTCCGAATCCAAAAATTGCTCCCATGTTTCCTAATATCGTATTACCAGATACTATTTGGCTTACTGATGATATAATAATCAAAGATGTTGCTATCAAGAACAATATCCTTAGTGAAGTTATAGCCACGATAGAACTTGAATTTAAAGATTCAAGTGATAATTTTCAAGACATTACTTTAAATTATTATGAGAAATTATTAACCGCTTATAAAGTATATGATATGCCAGGATATAGATTTCCAACAGACAGTTCGTCGTTTAATTCCACTTTTTATAACCCTATAGATGAAGAAGACGAAGAAGATGAATATAATATTGATCCGTATGATGATAAATTTGAAAATGGGAAAACATTATACCGAACAAAATCCAACCAGTCATTAAACTCGATCCGAGCTTTCGGCAAAAGACTATCATCTAGCACTACTAAGAAGAAACGTAACCTGTCATCCATCAACCATCCGGATGATTCACCTAACGGAAAACAGGCTGATAATCAATCACCTCATGGCAAATCAAGACCGCAACTGACAACTTCCAAAAAATCACAAGCAACCAATCGTCCGAATTCTGAACAGGGTACCTTGAATTCAATCCTATCTAAACTGAGAATATACAACCGAATAAAAAATAGTCGCCGAGAGTCTCTGCTTTCAATGACCTCAAATGGATCATCTACTCCAACTCAAAATAATGGAAATGGTCATGGAAATAATAATGGGTCTGGAGTGGCACCATCTGGAGCAAGCACCCACTCATATTCGAACAATAACATGTGTCCTTCATTACCAAGACCAAATAGTGCATATAGTTCCTATCTGTATTCACAGGAAGAATCTGGTGGTACTATTGACCAATCCCCTAGCCATACTCCGTTAACACAAGAACAAAAGCTTGAGCATAGAAGAGAAAAACACGAGTATTATATACATTTGCAGAAAGTGTTGACGCTCTCAGATAAGATATTACAAAGGTTAATTAGTTCAAATCTAGTCAAATTGATCAAGTTCCTTGAATTCATAAAGGGGAAGATATTACGATTTGTTATAATTGATATTATGACAATGATCAAACGGTATTGTGAACTATATGCTGCCAATTTTCTTCAGGCGTAAGAAAATGCAAGGCGGTCTGCGACATTGTTTATATTTATGTATTTATTTTCTATTAGACGGATATTTTTAGTTGGAATAATGAATGATTTTTTCAAGTTTGTGGTGTAATTGTAAACATCGTGCTACCTCAAAACGAGTCGTTTATTCTATTCGATTTGTTAAATTGCTCGCGAAGCTGTTTGGGGCATAGAAGAACATTATTTTCATCTACTTTTGCCCTCAAATATATTCGAGAAGAATAATGAAGTCCGTTCATTTGCATATTATTGCATGAGATTGCTTCTTGTATGGAAAGAATAAAGAAGCAACGAGGAACAACTGAGTAGATTTCACGAAAAGAAAAGAGTATTTCATTGATATCATAGCAAGGTAGCCGTCAGCGAATTTCTTAGCTAACTGCTTCGGTTCATATTCTTCATTAATCTAATATAACTGACAATCCTTCAAGAGGTCGACAACAATGGGTACTGTTGAAATACTGTTGAGATACTGTTATTTTACCTACTATAAGTGACAGAAAACCCACTTCAGAAGTGGTACTCCGAGCTTTTGGCTAAGGGCGTCGTTCTTGTTAATTCTTATTATTTTATTGAAAGCAGAGTCGCTGACATGAATTAATTCAAAGCAGTTGCCCGAATCTACAGTGCTAATTGAGTTCCGATCTTACGCCTTTGTCTTAGAAGATTACTAATAATGGATTGCGGCTTCGAAATGAAATGAACACCACGGAAAAATTATACAGAGTTTTCGTAGAAAGAACTTTTCGGCATATTCTAGATGAGTAGAGGTAGTCGAAGTCAAAGAAGTCTATAGCAACTTTCAGTAGTCCCATATAAAATATACGGAATATCACCATGCCTACAGTACTTCGGGTCTTTAGCTGCGCAGTTTCTATTAGATTGAAGACTGTCATATTTTACTAATCAAGTAATGTATATTGAATAAAACAACTCCTAAAGAAGATATCGGGGCCGAATGTGACATTGCATTATGTCACGGTTTCGCATAAAAATTGCAAAAGTTTGGCTGCAAAGTTCAAACAAATATTAAATAAAAAAGAAATAAAACATAGATCTCCCCCCACGGACCCCTCCCCCACGCTTTAGAATTTTCATTTACGACGCGACGTAATTTATAAAATTATAAAGAAAATTTGAATTTCTGAAATGTGATCATGTTTCATTTTCCCATAGTACTTAGTATTCTGTCCAGAAAAAAATGTTACATTGCGAAAAAAGTTATTCCGAATCTACTTGTCAAATTATTCCGAACTGTCGTATCTGCAAACTCCACATTTTCAAATCGCCGTGTTTTTCACTACTTACGGAACATCTATCACATTTTAGTTTATCATATTCTCCGATTACATAACCATTATCTCCAATTTCAGGAACAATTTTCTTATCAGCAATCCGATGATCGGCCACGAGAAATCTCCAGCAATTGCTGCGAATATAAATACAAGTCAGTATCCACCTCATCCATCCCAATCAATTCCTTCTTCAATACAATCATTCAATCAATCAATACATCAGCAATGAACGCAATCTACGAACTTGAAGAATTTCAAAGTCTTTGGACCCTCCTCACAGATAACTCCCATTGCGGCTATTATTCAAGCTATCTCAATGACGGTATAGTCCTCTCAGAAAAGGAATTTACCATCACTCTTATTCCACTTCCATGTCTCCTCAAGAAACTCATGTCTGGAGAAATCACATCTTTAGAAACAGTCATTGCATTCATCAAACAGGCCCTTCTTGTCTCCGATCAAAACTCATATCCCCTTAGACGCACCGAATCTATGAAGGTTGAACAGATTTTAAAAGCTGTGGAGAGAGCTAATTATTTAGATCATTATTATAATAGATACGGCCCAATTGGACCATTGCATGGATTGCCTATTTCTAAGGATCAATTGAAAGCTACTGGTTTGGAACAAGATGAAGTAGATCAAATAGAGACAGTAGAATTGGGGCAAATTATGTTGGATTTTGTGTTTTATCCTGACTTGGCACATTCAAAGAGAATGAGTTATAAACGTTGGAATGTTTCCCGTTTTTAAGAATTATCTTTAGTTCTTTTGGCATGTATATAGTTTTTATATTTATTTAATTGGAGTAATATTACAGGGATATTAGACTTTGTTTCAATGTAGTTTCGAACCTTTTGTGATATAGTTAAACGGTGAATAAACTATTCTCTTCGTCTATACTCCACAGGACAGGAATATGAGAATTCCACGAGTTTCTGTTAATCAGAGAGCAATCGTTGAACAAAAAACAGAAAAACATGCACAGTAATGATGACTTATATCTTGATTGTCGAGAAAGGGAATCATGATGCTTCGATCTTGACTTTCTTGGATATCTATATAAGTGTTGGCTTAATACCTGGTCAATTTCATTGCCAATACGGATGTCTGATGACACGTGATATTTCTTTTATTTGGTAGGTGGGGTGGGGGGAGGAGGAGGAGGAAGGAAGTGACATAGGCGCAAGGTTGGCTGACTACCACCAGACCATGTACAAGTTCTGCTTGTTGATCTGTTCTCAATTCTAGAATCAAGTGTAACAACTTTTGCCTCTTGCAAAATTGAAACCATCCATTTCAACCCGTCACAATTTTTCAATTCTGCATATAAGAAAAATGGTAATTAATGACGTATTGATTAGTGTACCAAGGGATAAGTTGTTTCATTTGTAACCTGACATATTACCAAACATTTTCCGAAGGTTATACTTAATTGAAAACACATTTCGCTTGCTGGAATTCAACTACTGTACGTGGAAAAATTTCAACATAGAAATTTTCACAGCCGAGCTTTTGTTTGGAAAGCTGAGAAAAATTGGATTTAATTAGAAGATTTGCTAGGAAGAGATGTATGTAGATTTGAACCACCAAGGTACTTTATGTTTCTGCTAGCATTCATTACAAAATTTCTGAATAGCTTGACCGAGATTCTGAGAAATATAACATGAAATAAAGGGAAGAAAATAGGTTTTTTTGAGCCAGTGCGAGAGTATCTGGTATTATAAGCCAGATAAGTGTGTATCAGGTATTATAAGCTAGATAAAGTATCTGGTTGCAAGTTGATGCTGAACTTCTCATTGATTTAAGAATTGGGGCCAGTATTGTCAAACACTTAAAATTGTCCTTATAAATGCATGGCATCAAATCCTAAGACAATCTTGTAAATGGAACAATAATGTTGTGTAGGGAGAAATACCTGCATATAGGCCCATTTCAATTCCAATTATCCAGCCTTCTTTGTTCTGTAAACGGAAAATGAAACTTCGCATACAGGTTCCCGTCTTTTACTGTAATGCGCTTATCTCCCTTTTCTTTCTCCCTAAAGATTACATTTGCCATCCACTTTTTTTTTATCTTTGCTTTCCTTTCTTTTCTCTTCTTCTTCTGTTTGACGAAAACAGTAGATATACAAACATGAAGTTATCTACAACAGTTGTTGCAACCATTGCAACCACAGCTTCATTAACACAAGCATTAATCCTTCCCACCTCATTCAATGACATCCAACAGAAATTCCAATTGGTAGACCAATATGCTTCCAAGTTTACCGAATCCCTTTCCCGTGGTCCTAAGGCCATTATGAACATTATCACCCAGGTAATGAAGGAACCCATTCCAGAAGAAGCTCGTAAAGTCTGGCTGGATATGATTTTAGAATTCCCCGAGGCAGTTCTGAAATTGAATTTTAAAGCCCCACCTAAACCGGCTCAAAAATCCAATCAAGCTGTTTTTGATTTTCATGTGTCTGATGAGAAGCATCCTAATCATAAGTTGAGAGTCAAGAAGACTAACCCAGCAGAGTTAGGCATTGATAAAGTTAAACAATACAGTGGTTATTTAGATGTTGAAGATGAAGATAAGCATTTCTTTTATTGGTTCTTTGAAAGTAGAAACGACCCAAAGAATGACCCAGTTATTCTTTGGCTTAATGGAGGACCTGGTTGTTCTTCCATGACTGGTTTATTCTTTGAATTGGGTCCTGCTTCAATTGGTAAAGATTTAAAACCAAAATACAATCCATACAGTTGGAACAGTAATGCTTCAGTTATCTTCTTGGATCAACCAATCAACGTCGGATATTCCTATTCTTCCCAATCGGTATCTAATACGATTGCTGCAGGGAAGGATGTTTATGCATTCTTGGAATTATTCTTCAAACAATTCCCCGAATATTCAAATGTTGATTTCCATATTGCCGGAGAATCATATGCTGGTCATTATATTCCTGTATTTGCTTCTGAAATCTTATCCCATGAAGACCGTTCATTTAACTTATCTTCCGTTTTGATTGGTAATGGTTTAACTAATCCTTTAGTTCAATATGAATATTACGAACCAATGGCTTGTGGTCAAGGTGGAGCCGATGCAGTATTATCTCCACAAGAATGTGCTGCTATGGAACAATCCTTACCTCGTTGTCTTTCATTAATCAAGTCTTGTTATGAAAGTGAATCTGTATGGAGTTGTGTCCCTGCTACAATTTACTGTAACAATGCTCAAATTGGTCCTTATCAACGTACTGGTAGAAATGTATATGATGTACGTAAAGATTGTGAAGGTGGTAGTTTATGTTACACTGGATTACAATACATTGATGATTATTTGAACAAACCAGAAGTTATGAAGGCTCTTGGTGCTGAAGTTGAAAAGTACGATTCATGTAACTTTGATATTAACAGAAACTTTATGTTTGCAGGTGATTGGATGAAGCCTTATTATAAACAAGTTACAGAATTACTTTCAAAGGACTTGCCAGTCTTAATTTATGCTGGTGACAAGGATTTCATTTGTAATTGGTTAGGTAATGAAGCTTGGGCCAATGAATTAGAATGGGAAGGAGGTGCCAAATTTGCCAAATCCCCAGTTCAAAAGTGGAACGTTGGTAAGACGCATGCAGGTGATGTGAAGAATTATGAAAACTTTACATTCTTAAGAATCTTTGATGGTGGTCATATGGTTCCTTATGACCAACCAGAAAACTCATTAGATATGGTTAATAGATGGATTGGTGGTGACCATAAGTTTACTTAGAGGATGAGTATTTAGAGTAGTTGACAATAACAAGGGATGTCAATGAAGAATATTTAGTGTCTTGAAACTACGAATGAAAACAAAAAAAAACGATAGTTAGTTAAATTTAGTTACAGAAAATCCCTTAAATAAAAATGTTGTTTGATTTGGATTTGTTCTTGTAGGATCCCCTTTTCTTTAGTTGACCCTCCTCCCATTCTCAGCCTCTACGTCTTGGATGGTTGTATATTGACAGTTTTGTGAAAGTTGCAAGTGAAAAAAACGCGACAGAATTGCAACCATTTCCTAATTGGGAAGAGACAACAATAAGGTGAAAAAACAAACAAACAGAAAACATAAACAACAAAAAAATATCCCACACTTTAAACAACGACGACAAACAAAGGGATGGGAAATGCTGCGAAAGAATTTCATAAACCTCATTTCTATTGTATAAGTATTTACTCACTTCTAAAAGAATTTAGTTGTTTATTTTGTTTTTTATAAAAGTTGAAAGTGTTCCAATCAATTTGGATCGAATAAAACACCTTCACATATAGCCTTGCGTCGGGATCAAGAAGATCTAACAGGTCCTTGCTTTACATCAACTTGCATAAAGATCTACCAGCAAACAAATACATCTGTCCCTGCCCATTGCATTTTTTTTCTCGGTCATAAACAAACAACGAAACACACACACAACCAACTATACCCATTGGACTTACAGTAGCGCCCCCATGATTCGAATAACATCCATAGGTACAAATGTGCTATGTACCCTACTAATAGGAGCATCAGGTATACTTACAATAATACTTTCCCATAAAGAACTATATCACTTGTTGTTTTCAATTTCAGGGTTTTGCAGTATAATAATGATCATAATCAACTCTCTTGTACTAAGCTACATGCAATTGCTAGTCCAATCGTTGGTATCAATACTATACGTAACAGCAGGAATACTATTCATAATCCACGATCCTATAAATACTCCAGAAGAAATTGGGATAGTAGTCACCTACATTACAAGCATAATCTTTTTAACTGCATCAATAATATTATCATTTGTATTCATTCAACAAACCAATGCTGCCTTGCGTGATGTTGAATTATCAGAATCCGACAAATCATCCACAAAATCATCACCAATAGTAACACACACCGCAATAGTACCAATGCCATCAGACTCAAAAGACAAAGCAACTCAACAATTGCAATACTTTGAACAGCTTCAACTTCAGCAACGACAGCAAAAACGTCATTTCAGCAACTCGACTCCCATCACACCCATACGGAATTCACTATATAGTAATAACCAGAAGGAGAGCCATAGGATAGCGCACTGTCATTCTTTATCTACTTTGATCTCAGATAGTAAGATATCAAGAGATCCATCGTCTTTGCTTTTTGATGACAGCATTAATCATATTCAAACACATGAAATAGGACGATCTAAATCAACCAATTGCATACCCAATAAAACTCAAGTACGAAAACAAAGATGGAAGTCTATTAACGATGAGAAATTATTCTTAAGCAATATAGATGAATCATTATTGCCGCCTGTGTTAAAAGTTCATAGTAAGCAAGTTTCGGTAGATGAACAAATCTCGCAACAACCACAACTCAATGGCGAACTAAATACGCAATTAACGGAATACCCAAAGAACTTTAAAATACGAAAGAGCAAATCAGAATATGTTACTACTCTAACCGGACTCGAGAATATTCCAGAGCCGCCTATTAAAAAGCGTTCGCCAAGTGATAATTGGAATCTAGCTCATTACGAACATACCAAATTACAGCAAGGGTTGAATTTAAATATTCTGGGAATTTCCAATCTAGTGTCGGATGGAAATTTAAAAGGATTTGAATACAAGAAGCAAGAAATATTTGAAACTGAGGAATTCTTATTACCACCCAAGGAACCAAGATCAGATAATATAGATCATCTTAGTGACATTTCTTCATCCAATACCCGGATTCCATCTTCAAGATCAATCAGTGCTCCTTCTTTGCATACTTTCAGGAAAATATCACAGACTTTAAGTGAAGAAATTTCCGAGAAAACTACATCATCTTCATTCGCACTAGAACCAACATGTCCAACTACACCACCCGCACAAATATCAGTACTTAGTATCAAAACAACTAAATCTCCTTTAAAAAGTCTCTTCCGAGAAACTAGTCCTAAGAAGATATTCAAACAACACAACCGTACAACCAGTCTTTGGGGAAGCAATAACAATTCCCCCAAGAAATTTGCATCATCGCAGCAAACTACACCAAGAACGCCAGCTGTGTATCATAAATATAGTATATCTGAACCCAACACCGCGTTGTTTTTACATGCATCACCATTTCCTCAATCTGCCAACTCAATCAATAAGTTCGTGGAGCCAATTGATTTATGGGATGTGAATACTAGTATTAGTCGTGGGGATGATATTGACGATGACGATGATGACGAAATCAGTAGACTTGGTTCTCCTGTGGGTAGTGTTATTTTGGGGGAGTATGATCATGAGAAATGGAGAACATTAAAGGCATTATCTGATAATCAGCCTGTAATGTAGAGTATTTTTCAGTGAAATATGTATATAGATAAGTAGGAGAAGTTATGCATCATAGAATCCGTGATTCTATCTAAGTAATACATAGGACTACAGTTTAGCATATATAAAAGGTTTCTAGACATAATTGCCTAGTGCATACTGTACTGTATAAACCCGGTAGTAAATAAATGTTGCGATGAGATTCGCTACCAAACGAAAGAACAAAAGAAAAATAAAACAAAATTGGCAGAAGGATTTTTTTTACAACCATCTCTCTCTTTCTAGTCATCACTTACCTTTACAGTCAACCAATCAATAAACCCCATAAAGCAACATGGATGATTTATTTGATGTCTTTGACGAGGCACCATCGGTCGCTCCCCCAAAGATAGAAGAGATAAAAGAAACCAATAACCAAGATACTTCCAATAACGAGACAACTGCTACTGCAACCAAGAAACGTCCTACAGAATCCGAATCTGACAAGGACGGTCCATTAAAGAAAAAGAAGCAGGAATTACAACAGAAACAAGAAATCAAACCTGTGGTTTTTGATTCAGTAGAAATTGAAGCATCTCGTGAAGTCTCAGTTTCTGCTGGGCTCTTACCTGTGACTGAAGTCAAAGCAGAAGATGATTCAACCACAACTTCAACTAGTGGAAATAAATTAAAACTTCGTCACCAGGTTCGTCATCAAGTCGCTATCCCCCCTTCATATCCATATATACCCATCAGTGAACATAAACGTACTACCGAAGCGAGAACTTATCCTTTCGTATTAGATCCTTTCCAAGATACAGCTATTTCATGTATTGATAGAAATGAAAGTGTGTTGGTCTCTGCTCATACTTCAGCAGGTAAAACCGTGGTTGCAGAGTATGCCATTGCTCAATCTCTTCGTGAGAAACAAAGAGTCATTTATACTTCTCCAATTAAAGCTTTGAGTAATCAAAAGTATCGTGAATTACAAGCTGAATTTGGTGATGTTGGATTGATGACTGGTGATGTTACTATTAATCCTGATGCTGGTTGTTTGGTTATGACTACAGAAATTTTGAGAAGTATGTTATATAGAGGTTCGGAAATTATGAGAGAAGTTGCTTGGGTCATTTTTGATGAAGTTCATTATATGAGAGATAAATCTCGTGGTGTGGTTTGGGAAGAAACAATTATTTTGTTACCTGATAAAGTCCATTATGTATTTTTATCAGCTACTATTCCTAATGCGATGGAATTTGCCGAATGGATCGTTAAGATTCATAATCAACCTTGTCATGTCGTCTATACTGATTTCAGACCAACTCCATTACAGCATTATCTTTTCCCTGCAGGAGGTGATGGAATTCATTTGGTCGTGGATGAAAAGGGTACATTCCGTGAAGAAAATTTCCAAAAAGCAATGGCATCCATTGGTGATAATACTGGTGATGATCCATCACTGGGTGAAAAAGGTAAAGGTAAAAAGGGACAAACTTTCAAGGGTGGAAATAAAGATGGTAAAACTGATATTTATAAGATTGTTAAAATGATCTATATGAAACGTTATAACCCAGTTATTGTATTTTCATTTTCCAAAAGAGATTGTGAATCCCTTGCTTTAAAGATGTCAAAATTAGATTTTAATACTGATGAGGAACGTGAAGCTTTAACTAAAATTTTCACAAATGCAATTAATCTTTTACCAGAACAAGATAAAGAATTACCCCAAATCAAAAATATTCTTCCATTATTAAGAAGAGGTATCGGAATTCATCATTCTGGTTTATTACCAATTTTGAAAGAAATTATTGAAATTTTATTCCAAGAAGGATTTTTAAAAGTGTTGTTTGCCACTGAAACGTTCTCTATTGGGTTAAATATGCCTGCCAAAACTGTTGTTTTCACATCTGTTCGTAAATGGGATGGTAAAGGTTTCAGATGGGTTTCTGGAGGTGAATATATCCAAATGTCAGGACGTGCTGGTCGTAGAGGGTTAGATGATAGGGGTATTGTTATTATGATGATTGATGAAAAGATGGAACCCCAAGTGGCCAAAGGAATGGTAAAAGGTCAAGCTGATAGATTAGATTCTGCATTCCATTTAGGATATAATATGATTCTTAATTTGATGAGAGTTGAAGGTGTATCTCCCGAATTTATGTTAGAAAGTTCATTTTACCAATTTCAAAATGCTGCCAGTGTACCAGTTATGGAAAAACTGTTGGGCGAATTAAAGGAAAAATATGAAGAAATTAAAATTGATGATGAACCAATTGTTAAAGAATATTATGATCTCAAAACCCTGTTGACTAGATATCAAGGGGATGTCAGAACAGTTATAACTCATCCAGGTCATATTTTACCTTTCTTACAAGAAGGTAGAGTGGTTAAAATTAAGATTGGAGAAGAAGACTATGGATGGGGGATGGTGACAACATTTGCAAAGAGAAATAGAAAAGGGAATCAAGAATTCACTGCTCATCAATCATATATTGTCAATGTGTTTGTATGTACGATGTTTGTTGATTCACCTGTGAATTTGATTAAACCATTTAATCCAATGTTAGCTGAAGGTATTAGAGTTGCTAAGAAGGGAGAAAAATCAAGAGCAGAGTATATTCCAATTACATTAGATTCGATTGAAAAGATAAGTAGTGTAAGATTGAGAGTTCCATCCGATTTAAAGAGTTCTGAAGCAAAACGTACATTGGTAAAGACCCTTAAAGATTTACCTAAACGATTCCCAGATGGTATTCCATTAATGGATCCTGTTGAAAGTATGAAGATTACTGATAATGAATTCAAGATGTTATTACGTAAAATTGAAGTATTAGATGCCAAGTTGACTGGTAATCCTTTACATAATACTGCAAGATTACAAGATCTTTATGACAAATATTCTTCAAAAGTTGATCTTGAACATAAGATTAAACAACTTAAAGAGAAGATTTTGGAAGCAGAAGCGGTGATTCAATTGGATGACTTGAGGCATAGAAAACGTGTATTGAGACGTTTAGGATTCACTACTCAGAATGATATTATTGAATTAAAGGGTAGAGTTGCATGTGAAATTAGTACTGGTGATGAATTATTACTTACTGAATTAATTTTCAATGGTAATTTTAATGACCTTACAAGTGAGCAATGTGCTGCATTACTTTCATGTTTTGTTTTCCAAGAACGTGCTAAAGAAGTACCTAGATTAAAACCTGAATTGGCTGAACCATTAAAATCAATGCAAGAAATGGCATCAAAGATTGCTAAAGTTTCTCGTGAATGTAAATTAGAAATCCTTGAAAAAGATTATGTTGAATTATTCCGTCCTGAATTAATGGAAGTTACATTTGCTTGGTGTAAAGGAGCAACATTTACTCAAATTTGTAAGATGACAGATGTTTATGAAGGTTCATTAATTCGTATGTTTAGAAGATTAGAAGAGTTGATTCGACAATTGGTTGTTGCTGCTAAAGCAATTGGAAATAGTGAATTGGAAGAAAAGATGGGAAAGGCATTAGAATTAGTTCATAGAGATATTGTTTCTGCTGGTTCCTTGTATTTGTAAGTTTACTTAATTAATTAATAGCTTTTGTATAATTAGATAGATTTTTTAGCTTGTAATTTATAATTGACGTCATTCAATTCTTCGTGAGGCGCAATTTTGCCGTTGTAACTTAATTTTGTTGCGATATAATTAAAGGGGGCTGTCAATTTAATTTCTATAATTTGATTCTTCTTTTTGATTTCATTGCCAATTGAAACTTTTTAAAAGGGAAGTAAAGAAGAATAATGTCAACTACCACAAGCAATAAGAGTAGTGGAAGTAAAGGTAGAAGAAGAACAATACTACTGGGGGAAGTTGAATTATTATTTGTTAAATCTAAAGTCTATCTTCATCCAACGCCATCCAAACGAGATAACATTGGAGGATATCTTTCATTATCAAGACCTTCAAATGCAACCAATTTAGACATTTTATTATCATTCACACCAGAAGCTCAATTATCTACTCAAGAAAAGAAGATATATGACGAAGTAGATATTGAAGATATTGAATTGGATTTAGATTCTTTAAAATTAAGTCATTCAAAATTTGGTAAAGCAACAAGTTCAAGAATTGTATCTAAACCTCTGAGTTCTACTCTTAGTGGATATTCATTCAGTGTTGCTCTTTCATATATTTATTCTATCCAATTTAGGATTCCATCTCATGGATATTGGTTTGGATCAATAGTTATTAATACTCAAGATGGTGAAAAGCTTCCTATTGTATTTTTCCATGATGATGAATCACCATCAACTATAAAGACCAATAAATTGAACAATCAAAGATTTGATCCATTTGGAGATACTGGGGAATTATATTGGGGTGGAATTGATTTCAGAAAGGCATTGGAAACATTTGTTAATGTACAACGATCAACTATTGAAACGTCAGTTTATTTGATTAATCCAGAATCTAACGATTTAAGGAATTTTGCCCCATTTAAGACAAAAGAAGATATAAATAAGAAAAAGCAGCAACAACAGCAGCAATCTTTGGAATTACCATTTAAATTACCTGATGTTAGTAAATTCTTAACAACTGCAAAATGGAAGGTATTGGAAACAGTGGCAACTTTTTCTGCCAAAACCAAGAACCAAGTATTGGATATAATTGAAGATACAGTCCCAACTCCATTGAAAGGGATCATGTATATACCCGAAGTTAAACGAATTGGAGATGATTTTGATTCTGCAAGAGTTTATTTAGCAAAATGGGCCCAACAAGTTAAAGAAGAAGCCGAGGCAAGTCAAAGTAAATACATGCTTGATGATGACTTATATCAAAGGATAAATCGGGAATTAAAATCAAGTGAAATGTTAACTCAAGAAGAAGTTAGTCATACTTCAAGACGTCAAGAAATTAATAAACAAGAATGGGAAAGTTTCTTTGATTTCAGTGGAAGGTTATGTATCACTGTTGATGAAGTAAAGAATCGAATCTTTCATGGTGGGTTGGAGCCTTCGATTAGGAAAGAAGCTTGGTTATTCTTATTGGGTGTATATCCTTGGGATTCATCTACTGAAGAAAGAGACGCTTTACGTAATTCTTATGAAACAAGTTATGGTGAATATAAATTGAAATGGGTGAATGATGAAGATAAACGAGCCACTGAATTCTGGCAGGATCAAAAACATAGGATTGAAAAGGACATTAATAGAACTGATCGTAGTTTAGAAATCTTCAAGAATCCAAAGAAGAAGAAGACGACTCCAACAACCGAAGGTGCGGAAGATACTGCAGATAACAATAAACCATCTCGAGAATCATCACCCGAGACACCAGATGAAGAAGATATGGATGATGAATTTGATATTTCAAATATTAGGAATCCTCATTTATACGCTATGAGAGAAATTCTTTTGACATATAATGAATATAATGAAAATCTCGGATATGTTCAAGGAATGACTGATTTGTTATCACCATTGTATGTTACGTTCCAAGATGAAGTGATCACATTCTGGGCGTTTACTAAGTTTATGGATCGAATGGAACGAAACTTTGTTCGTGATCAAAGTGGTATGAAGAATCAATTAACTACTTTGAATAAATTATTACAATTTATGTTACCTAATTTATATAAACATTTGGAAATATGTCAATCGATTGATTTATTTTTCTTTTTCAGGATGTTATTAGTTTGGTTTAAACGTGAATTAGAATGGGATCAAGTATTAAGATTATGGGAAATACTTTGGACCGATTATTATTCATCACAATTTCATTTATTTTTCGCCCTTTCAGTCTTGAGTGATAACGAAAGAATAATTATCCAGAATTTACGTCAATTCGATGAAGTTTTGAAGTATATGAATGATTTATCAATGAAGCTTCATTTAGGTCCATTGTTGATTAGAAGTGAATTGTTGTTTTTGAAATTTAAGAGGATGTTAGATATTATTGATAGAGATAATAGCTTGAAAAAAATCAAAGCTGACCCATATGCGGCAGATAATGCTACAGCTGGCGACGGTGATGGTTCAACTGCCGTTGCTGGTTCTAGTAGCGCAAGACAACCAGACGGCCAAGCAAAGGGCGTCATTGTCGTCGGGAACGAATTAAGAGAATTATTAAAGAAAGAGATTATTATTCAAAAGGAAGTCGAAAGGCCAGAAGGCGTGGGTGGAGGATAGACTAGCTTCCTTTAAGGGTTTCATTTATTTAGGTTTTTATAGTATACATATTATGGTTTTTTGTTTTTATATTGAAGTTTATTCGGAATATAATAGGATATGGAACGTATCAAAGAAATGCTTGTACTGGCCAACTGTAAAAATAACCCTCGTGTGCGGTTAAAGAGCAAGCCATTGTTACGTAACAGTCGTGTGAGCATAAACAATGGACAAATTTCGTAATTACATTTGTGATATGTAATATTGCCTTCTCAAAATGGCAAAATTATAACTGAAAAACAATTTAGCTCATCGCATTGAGAATCACAAAACAGACGAGCTAATTAAATTAACTTCGAGAAATTTGGCATGTCACTAAAATTTTCACAACCGTTAAATTACTTGGCGTGCCTGGCGTTAATTAGCCGTGATTGGATGGCTTGAACCTCACGAGATGATGAAAGAAGTTACGTTTGTAGTTATTCTAAATTTGAATCCACGAGGACTAGAAAAGCCAACCAATCAGGATGAGTTTCAATGCGTGGTCATCTGAATGGATCAGTATGTAGACACGTGGTTTACGTAAATGAATAAATGAATGAGCATTACATAACAAAAATATTTAATTGGTCATAGAAAATAATTTGTTTTCTTTTTTTAGCGAAAATGCACAAAAATTAAAAAAAATAAATTCAGAGATAAACAATTACAAGACCAGCAAGCAAGCTTTTTTAAGCATTTGCTTTCTCTGCAAATCTTTGCTTTTATAGGTTTTTATTTCCTACAATCTTTTCCTTTTACATATCAGAGTTATACATTCATTAAGAGATTTAATCATGAATGAAACAACACCCTTGAACTCACAGTATAGACAATACCAAGATCAAGAAGCCAACCATCAAGAACATCATCAACTACAACCGTCAGATTTCGATGGCGATGAGGACGAATATTACAACTATTCTAAGTACAAGTTAAACAAGGGAGCCAAGTATCTCATGTATACATTAGGGTTTGCATTGGCTGTATTTGGCCTATATTTCTTTACCGTTCTACTTCCAAATACTTTCATTCCAACCGCCACTGAATTAGTTACCATTGACAAAATTTCTGATTTAAATGTTATTCTAACCCCAAAAGATGTCAGTATCGATGGCAAAACCCAAGTCCATAGAATCATATTAATAGGAGATACACATGGTCATTATAAGGAGTTGACTAAATTATTAGAGAAAGTAAAGTATAATAATAAGAACGATAAAGTGGTCATGTTAGGAGACTTTATTTCAAAGGGTCCTGATTCTTTAAAGGTACTTGATTTCTTAATCGAGAATAATATCGATTGTATAATGGGTAATCACGAGTACTACATTTTGCAAAACTACGCAGCTTTCCATGGATTACCACAACCAATGTTTACTAATGCCGCTGACAATATTGGATTCAATAATAATAATAATCAAGATTTCCGTCTTGCCAAAAAGCTAGAACCACATCATGTGAAATACATCAATAAATGTTCAATAATCAAGAAATTAGGAACAGTTCCATTAGTCACAAACAAGAAATCATCCACTTTGTCCGCTCCAGGCATTGCCGTTCATGCCGGGATTAGATGGGATCTTAAGTTGAAAAATCAAATCCCGACCGAGAATTTAGAAATGAGATCATTGTTAGCACCTCAATATACAGAAATTTCGTCTGATCCATCTGTGTCTAATGCAGTAAGTTGGTCTAAGGTGCATAATATGAAACAAAAACTGGGTGAAGCTAAAGAAGAATGGATCGTTTATTATGGTCATGATGCATCTAGAGGATTGAACTTGAAGGAATATACAAAGGGTATAGATTCAAGATGTGATAAAGGTGGAAAATTATCAGCCATGATTATTTGGCTGGAAAAGCAAGCAAATCAAATTATTTATAAAGAAGACTTGGTACAAGTTAATTGTTAGAAAAATCTATTTAATTAGATATTTTTCAGAGTTTTATTTGAGATTGCTAATTCGCAATTACTTTTTTTTAGGGTTTTCTTCGTTTATAACCGTTTTGCTATTTTATTTATTGATGATGACTTCATTTGTAGTCTCTATCATCTTTTAGGAGTTTTAGTTTAATTTAATATGTTTAAATATAAGATATGATACAAATGCCATAGTGTAAAGCAAAATCAAATGCGTGAAGGCTAGTTTTTACAATTATTGCGATTTCAAGTAAATCTTATTCTGATGTAAAGGGTCCTAGAGTGGTCCCGGGCTCATATATTGTAGATTCTCTGCATTACTTTGGTTCTATATCACATTGGTGCCACCAGCACTCTCGTACTGAGTTCAAGAAGAAGCCACCGAAGTGGTTGGGGACAATCTCAATCGTTCTCTATCTCGCTTAGTGCGACACCCGTTAGGACTTGGACTGAGCGATGAGATCTTTTCTAGATTGCCTAGGGAACTTGCTGGTGAAACATAGTTTTGAAAGAAGTCAATTCTACATTGTTGTAAAACATCATATCAATATACTTGACTATATAGCAAACTACATAAGCGTTAACTAATAGCTTCAATTTATTCCTTAGAATCCAGTTTATTTCTTAGCAGCTTCACGGTTTGCTTGAACAGCAGTTTGGTGTTGAACCTGAGCGTGGTGGTCCATTGCTTTGTGGCCCTCGACGTTTACTTGTTTGTCCATCGAAGATTGACGAGCTTTACCGGCTTCGGAGGCTTGATTTGGTTTTCCCATTGTTAATATTATTAGAATTTGTTTGGAGTGTGATCCCGATGAAATAAGCACTCGAATTTCCAAAACAGAGAGCCAAATGACTCCTATTTATAGTAATTCCCAACCATACTTAATTGAAGTTTTGGAGAGTGCTCTCCTCTCCCACATGGGATAACATGCAAGTTCAAAATCTGTATAAGGTTTCAATATGATATTGGATCGTGTCTTCGACGAGAAGGGGGTGGGGTGTAAAAATTGGAATCTTAAATTAAAAGATATAAGGCTAATTGACAAATATCATTTCAAAACTGAAGGTATCATTGGTTGTGTCTCTACTTTTGGTGGATTTGATTATCCGAAGTTATATGTTTGAAGCTACTGCTGGTTAGATAAGGGAATTTACACTCAGTTCCTACAGCTATGATGAATATCAGGCAATAAAACAGAATGGAACAAAGTTTCAAGCTTTCTTGAAGATGATTCCCCACCCAGATATTGAACGTGGGCTAGATGTAAAGTAATAGACCGTACAGATTGCATGTTCAATTATAACCTAGGATCATAAAAGAAAGCTTAATTCAGTTTTCTAAATTATATCTACTTATAATTAATCAAAGTTCCCCACTACAAGGGGGGTTTCTGAAATACATACACAATTGGATATTATTGCGTTGCGTGGGTTTAATTGTTGCAACAAAGCAAGAAGTTTTCCAAAGACATTCAAAGGCGCAAATTGATTTGGATGCAAAAAAAATTGAAGTGTGACAATAAGATCAATCTCGCCTGCATATAAATTATCCGAACCATTTTTGTGTTTGCAACAGTTTTTCCATTCATCCTCCCCCTCCTTGGTCCCTCACTGTCTTTCCCCCTTTAAATACCCCATCCCATTAATTAACGAACTCCCCTTTTAGTCTAAACCAAAAAATAATTAATCAATTCAAAAGCAAACATAAATTCAATTGTTCATTGGTTAACCCACTTGTCCGTTTTAAGCTGCTTACCCCTTGAAAGTTAAACAAAGACCATGTCTAAAAAAGTTGCACTTGTAGTTATTGATCTCCAGGAAGATTTCTTACCTACTCATGGCTCATTGGCTATCAACGAAGGAAGATCAATTGTGCCTGCAATCAATGAATTAATCACCAATAAGAAATATAACTGGTCAGCAATAATAGCTACTCAAGATTGGCACCCCAGAGATCATACCTCATTTGCATCACAACATAATGTTGACCCCTTTTCAGAATTAGAATTTAAACATCCAAAGGGGGAGATTGACGCTAAGACCAATGAGGTCAACACAATGAAACAGTATGTTTGGCCCGATCATTGTGTTCAAGGTACCCCTGGGGCTTGCATTGAAGCCCTGTTCTTGGGGGTCTTTAATCTGATTCGTCCGGAAGTTCCTAAAGCGATTGTAAAGAAGGGATATTTACAAGATCGGGAATATTATTCATGTTTTGAAGATGCTTGGGGAATTCATCATACAGAAATGGAGAAACTTCTAAGAGATAATCATATTACTGATGTTGTATTTGTTGGATTGGCTTATGATTTTTGTGTATTGAATTCTTCATTAGATTGTGCTAAATGTGGATTTAATACTTTCGTATTAAAGAATTATTCAAAATCTGTTTATCCAGATAAAGAAGAAGAAACTGAGAAGTTATATACTGAACGTGGAGTGACGATTATTAATGATGATAGCTTTGTTAAATTATTTTAAATAAGAGTTAGTTTTATGAAGTTTACGTTGGATTGGTTTAGAGTCAGGTGCTTCTTTCCTTTGTAAATACATATATGCCGTGAATGAGATTTTCAAGCTAAGACGATGTAGAAACGTATATGCTGGCAATTATTATCCCGCTAGAAAATGCTGACAATGCCCATTAGTATGTGACTGAGTTAGCTACCTAAAGATAAACCCTTCTCATACAAATTACAAACCCTATAAGCTCATCTTTTGATTATTATCTATTAACTATTTCCCACTCACTACATATACTACATACCTCTAAACTTATTCTTTGAAGCAATTCTACGACCTTCAAATCTTTGTTTGGTTCTTCCACGATTGTTCTGTTTTTCTTCATCATCTTCAACATCATAATTATCTTGCTTGAATGTGACTTTTCTTTCCTTCTTTTTAGGAACAAATGTTAATTCAGCTTCACCACGAGCATGACGACGCAATCTGGAATCATCAACTGGTTTCTTAGTGACTTTATTAATCCTTTCAACTTGAGAACCAAAAGTTTCAGTTGCTTTAGATGATTGCTTTGGACCTTCAGCAGAAAGAGCTTTCATTTCATTAAGGAATCGTTTATTATCTTCTTTCTTCTTACGAAGTCTGGCTAATTCCTTTTCAACCTTGGCACGATTAGCTTCTTTGACTTCTTCATCTTCGCTTTCTTCGCTTTCACTCTCCTCACTTTCTTCACTTTCCTCTTCAACACCATTTAATCTTTCTTCATCCGATTCTTCAGCTGCAGTTAATCCTCTGGATCTTCCAGTTGTCGTTATATCTTTGGTTGCCTTGACTGGGTTCAATTGTTTATATTCATGAGATTCTTCATCAACTGCAAAATCAGGATTCTCGAACATTTCCTTGAATCTTTCATCGTTAATAACACTTTCAGCGACATTTGAACCAACCTTAGCTTCCAATCTACTTGCCAAATCTTTATTGACCTTAATCTTTGTAGCCTTGACTGCACCGGTAGTTCTAATTCTTGATTCTCGTTCTTGTTCAAGTTTCTTCCTAATTTCACGTTGTCGTTGATCACGTAATGAGTTTGGATTGGCAATAAGGTTAACTTTTTCATATAACTCAGTATCGATGAAGAAACCATGCATGTATGACCGTAATACTTTTGATCCCACAAGATGAGATAAGTTCAATTTCTTGACTTCATCACGAGTAATGAATCTATAGTTTGAATAAATTGTATCGGATGGTTTTTCTTCCAATTCTTCAGTAACATTATCCAAGAATGAACACCATGTTGGAGCTGGACCCAAATTAGGAATATAATATGTATGCATCGGTATACCTTCATTAGCCATGAAAAACATCCCAGAACCAGGAATATGACAAATATCATTAATGTCAACAGTTGGTTCCATAGATGCAAATGGCTTACCTGTATTACGATCCCAGATCTTGGCGATTCTCTTATCTGAACAAAGAATCATATCGGAAGAACTTGAATCTTCTAACCATAAAATCTTCTTAATATCATATCCATAACCGTGATCTTTAATAATCGATGGCGTGGAAGTACGTAAATCGTACAACAAGGTCTTACCATCATTTGTTCCTAATGCAAAATTTAACCCATCATTTCTGAACGAAACTGTGGTGACTCCAATACTTTCATTTAATTGATCATTAACAAACAATTTCCCTGCACGTTGTTTAGATCTAGGATCCCAGAATTCAACCGTCCCATCTTCTAACCCAGCCGAAATTAAACCATGAACTGAGTTTATATCCACTGAATTCACCCCTTGGGAAGTATCTAACACATAGGGATTCAAAAACCTTCCCTGATCTAAATTTAATCTATATAATTCATTTCCTGATGCTCCGATTAACAAATCACAATTTACGGAGTTATATGCCAAAGATCTACCAAATTTAGGTATCCTCGAACGATAATGAATACCTCCCTTAGTTTGAAATTCAATCGATCTATCATTTTGTAAATGAACTGATTTTGTCCAATCATCGGAAAGGATTAAGAAATCGACATTTTCACAATCGGTATGACGTTCGAATTTAAGTGATAGATTGGCGAAATCGTAAACATGAATCTGTGGTTTATATGTTCCTGTTGCCATAGCGAAATTTCCATCTGGTGATACTTTGATTTTATTCGATGCTTCTGAGAATTCAAAATCTTGAATTAATTCTATACGATTTTGATATTCAAGATCATGTTTTAAAGAACGCTTACGCTTTTTGGCAATCCAATCAGGAAGTGAACGGGAGACGTTGGTACCCGAGACCTGGTAGACAGACACGTTCCCTGCTGTTGTAGATTTTAAAACCATGTTGGTGTAAACAGTAAAAAGTATGTATTGAAATCTATAAACCTAACAGAGAAACAAAAAATTTATTAAAGAGATGATGATGATGAGATGAGTTTAGAGATTATTTTTTTTTGTTAGCTCGTCCCAAAAGGGAAACCATGTCACATGACTGATTTGTATTTTTCGGATTTGCAGCAAAATTTTTTCACTTGAATTGATCAACATGAGTACTATGTTGGCGAACATTATTCATAAACTTGACCGGAGTAGATGAATCAAAACTATAATCTTGTGTTCCAGGACTTATCTGGAAGCTGTATAAAAATTTAAAATCATCCAATTTTATTTCTTCGGTTGCACTATCTTGAGCTGTTTGAGTATTTGCAAACCATTTATGTTCAGGTTTGAATGTGTTAATAAAGAAATCTAATCCACTCTTGATTAATTCGTCTTTGAAAACTGAGTCATCTTTTTTCAATTGGTACTCAAACATTTGAATGAAAGTTTGAATAAATCTGAGGTCAGCATAGCAAATATCATTCACAATATTAATCAAACAAATCCAAATTAAATTGATATTTATCGATTTAAAATTGAGATTAAACAATTGATAAAAGCTTTCATTGATTCTTTGAATTGAATACGTCAGAATAGAGATGGGGAATTTTGTAGCTACTAGCAACGAGGAGATTAAGCCTGAAATATACAATTCCATAAATTGTAATACAATTTTTTCATTCAATTTATTCTGAACTAGTTTATTATCACTGAATTGATTTACATACTCAATGGTTTTGGAATCCTGGTTCATAAATTTCTGAAATACTTTTAATAATTTAAACTGGGTTTGGAATAAAACAACAGAAACTTTTGTCTCATTTACAAGATCGAATAATTTACCCAAAGGATCTTTTTCAATTTGAGCTTCCTCATATAATTTGGAAAGTGGTGGCAAGGCGAATGAAGTCGAGAATTGTTTTTCAATACAAGATGGCAACTTATCAAATGTATGAAACATGATATTATAGGAAATGATATAATTCAAATAATTCAAAGCCATGCTAATAGAAACCTTCCCATTTAATGTATTAAAAACTCGGTATACTTCATTTAAATTACAACTATTGATCACGCCAATCGCCTTTTCAATCTTTTTAGCTAACACGTATGTCAATTTCCTCGAGGTTCCATGATCTAACAAAATTAAGATGTACTTGATACTATCTTCTAAGCTCAATTCTTGGGGTATGTCATTGAAAGAAAGCAAATATTTTAGTAAGTCTTTCTCTCTAACATTTTCGGAAGTGAATTTACCACCTTGCAAGCCATATCCATTCTGTTTTAAAAGACGCTTTACAATCATAATTGACAATTCACTTTCACCCAAGCCATAGAGTTTAATAATATAATTTGATCCATTGTTGAGACATTCCTTCTCCTTCATAATTGAGAAATATTCAGTTGTAACTGATTTCAAAACCGACAAGAATTCCTCGTATTTAGTAACATCAGAATACCCATTCGTTGAGTTCATTAACATATGCATTTCAAGATAATCAACCTTGCCTGACTGGATATTTGAGTGTAAATTCTCTAAATTCTGAATCAAATGGGTGATGTTCAACAAGGGATGGAATAGATATAACCAGCATATTTTAGCAATCAACACTTGAATTCCCAGATCCCCATANGCCCAGTTCATGTTGTTGCCATTTAATTAAAGGTGATAATAAATCAGTGGAAAATACTTCTTGACCAGCTGGTTCGTTGTTATCATTCAAGAGTTGTATGATCTGGGAATATAAACTTGTAATCGAAGATAAGCTAATAGTAGATGATCCAATTAAAGACAATTGAGTTTCTTCTGCTCTTACAAGAATTGATTGAATGTTTTCCATGATTAATACTTTATAGCGCCACCTCTTGTAACACCAAAATGTTTATGATAGATTTGAAAATTTGGTGGTTAAATAAAAAGTTTTGCAGCATTTTTTTGGCTAATTAATTTTTGATTATGTAATCAAAAATGGTTGTTAATTAAAAATCAACCAAAAATAGCCACCACAACAATATTTCTATTTTATCTTTATTTCTTCTTCTTTCGTAAAGTGAAAGCAAAACTTTCAATAGTTGCACCACATCGAGTTCTTTTGTTTACAAGAAGACTTTCATTGAACCACATGTAAAAAGTCAAGATGTTGTGTTATTGTCGCGGAAAACTATAAAATTTACCGAGGCTAATAGCTTATCCGTTAACTATGGAGGATATCATTTTCCAAACGGTAAATAAGCTAAAATTTTCAGCATTGATGAACTTGAGAGCACCTGATATTTATTAAATATTAACCTTATTTAAGACTTGCAAGAATTTGTATGTACGAACGGATGTTTGACGGAGTTTGGCACCGGGTTTAAGTGTACGAATGGGTGGTTTGAATGTTCTAGACGGTTTATGAAATTGGTAAATGGTGAGATGACTTCAGATAAAGATTGGCGAGTTAGATTAGGAACCTCGGTTCAAAGAATTTGCCAATCCTTTAACAGCGTGGTGGTTGTAAATTCGTGAATTTTGGTCGGGCAATTCCTTCGTCCTAGTAAAGAAGAATCAATGGAACCAATAGCGATGCTCTCTGTCGAGAATCCAGTACAAGATGGGCACGTTACAATTGATTGTAAAGGACTAGATGCTGTTAGAATCTCGGATAAACATATTCGCCCAGGGTTGCAATTCAATTTCCACCCAAGTCGTATAGAACTTAAATATTATTGCTAGTTTGCGATGCATTCCGGAATTTATGCCTATGAACGCCAGCATCATCGGTTAACAGTGTTAGAGTACCCGTTTGACATAAAAGCACCTTGCTATACTTAGACTTTTGGTAAACAGGGGGGAAGACGGCGTTTTTCAGACATCGGGGAATTACGGCAACGGTAATGGGCTCACTCTTCTTTCGGAGGAGAAATACCAAGATTTCACAAAGACGATTGAAAGGTCGATGCTACAAATAAATTTTAATCAGAAGATGATACGATATTGGATTAGGGCCTTTCATTTTTTTTTTTCATGGAGTTGGTATTTGGTCGTATTTCAATACCCTACATTATTTGTCCTGGATTGGGTGGAAATCTAAAAAGATTGAGACTAGCAGTGCCTCTTTAATTCTAATCAAATCATGCAAAACTTTAATATATCACAGGAAAGAACTTTTGATCATCGCTGCAATACACTTCCACTTGAAATAAATACAGCTCCGATATATTTTTCCGGCTAAGCCTACAATATGATGTCAACTAACCGGAATTTAAGCATCACGATGTTTCGATCTGCAAGCTAAGCAAAGGCGGCGGAACAATCCATGCATATAATGCCTGTACCCTAGATAAGTCCTTCCTTGCAGTATATTGCAGAATTTGCAACAATTTTTATGCAGCAAACATGTGATATTTCCCGTTTTGGGTTTGGAAAATTTTGGAAAACCGTTGGATTTATTTGCTTTTAAGATCTAGATGGATTTTTTCCATTAGTAAGGTTTCGATATCCAAGGTTATTCTTGTTGTATGTTATTAAATGGAGATTTTCAATCTGGTAGTTTCTGAAAATATCTCGGCTATTGGATGTAGGGATATGTCGATTATCGAAAAATAGATGTGATGTTATGAGATCAACTCGTATTAAGAAATGATCAGCATTAACAAGGCTATCAGTACTAGCTTGCTAAGACGCAGAAAGTTATTTGTACTAAATTTCCAGGACGCACAAGGTTATGGGTAATAAACATGCTAGATGTTCCCGAGAGAAAAGCAGCGGACAGGATCTACATTTGCACGATCTTATGGATTTCTAAAGGATAAATACAAAGGTTGGTTTGGAAGGGTCCAAAATATAAGGTCCTTACTGAAAAGAAACAGCAACTAATTTTCTTTTGGCTCATATTCTCATATTTAGGCTTCTTGAATGAGTTTTCCGAGCCCGCATATCGAAGCATGCATAAGAAGTGCATTACGGATAAAATATATAATGGAAGGAAACAATGAATGACAGGATTTGTCTGAAGTGAAAAGTGGGCAATGCAATGATTATGTACGGTATACGTCTCGATGAGGTATTTATCCAGTACTGTACTGTATATCGGTGCGTAAACAGATTTCCGCAAAGCGTATTTAAAATCGTCGGTCATGAAAATCATTTGACAGAGGAGGGCTCAGACTTCAGTGATTTCTTCATGATGGTTACTGCATACAGTTGATAAAGTTGGCATATCTTTACTGATAAAAATGTGTTGGAGCAATTTAAGAAGGAAAAAACAAGGTCTGTAAAGTCATGAAACGGTGATCCTGGCTTATCTCTTGTTCATGAAACTTTGATGCAAATAATTAAGATAGCGAATTCTAGACAAGTGACGTATGTGGTGCCTTACATGCTTTAAAATGGTATGTGATAATGGATATTTCACAAAACGATTTTTTCATTTAATGAACAAAGAGCCACAAAATAAAAGAGAAAAAAAAAGAAACTAACAATATTAATTTAATAAAAAGCAAGAATTTGTTTGAGACTTTTTAAAAAATAATTTTGATGTGGAAAAAAAATAAAATATTTTTATTGATTGTCCTGTGCATAGATGCATGAGTATCTTACATTGCAGCTAATTTAACATTATTAGGAAATATTAAAATTTTGGGAACAAACAATGAACTTGTATAAATATACTTTAAAATTCCCCAAAGTTGAAAAGTTATAACGGTTTGAATCATAGGCATAACCATAAGTTTAATTAACAAGTCAATAAAAAGGACATTCATTTACTCATTCAATCATTTTCATTCATTACACAACTATAGTCATACATACAAATGAACTTCGATTATTCGTTAACGAAAGCTCAAGCAAAGAGTATTCATAATAATACCCAATCCCCTATATCTAGTACTACACCTCCACAAAAACTATATACATTAACCACATCACCTCGTAGACAACATAAGAGGAGTAACTCGGTAGACTTTACCCCTAGAAGAGGCAGTCATGTATCGTTAACACATTCACCATCAAGTGCTTCAAGCAAAAATTCAAGCTTGCTTTCATCACCAATATCACAAAACCAAGCACCAACTGAATCATTAATCTCTTCAGCACCTGGAAGAGTTATTGACTTGGATAAAATTACACACGAGTTGAATAATAGCGTAAGGAGGTTGAGCGTTGCTAGCTCGCTCAGTCGCATTCAAGAAAGCACCTTGCAAAATATTGTTAGCAATTCCAACGATCAATTGGAACCTAAATTACCACTAAGCTCAGAGTTATTGTTGATGAAGTATCAAAATTATAATACCGATGACGAAATTCTCAGCATAGAAGAAGAACAAGATGAAGAAGAGAAGGAAGAACAAGGTAGGGAAGTACTTTCTTTTGACGAAGGTTCCAAAGCAAAGAGTAATCGCTTACTACGAACATTTAATAAATTAAAGAGAAATAGTTCAACATAACTGAAAAAAAAATTACGGACAGAGACATTTTATAGATCTATTAAAATCAGTATATTTATAGAACTAAAAGGCAATATTATTTATGATACCCACAAACATTTATTATGATTAACTTTTTCGATAGTTTAACTTTAATATACAATTTTTAACTTTTTAAAATTCTTCTATAGATATTTAATGGAATATTGGACGGATGGTTTGTGGGGGGTTTAGAAAATTTCAGAGTGTGTGGGTATCAAAGGGAAATGTGGAAAATGCCCCCCCCCAAAAAAAAAGAATCTCGGTAAAAAATATATTATTTTATTTCAACAAACCCTTTTTCTTTGGAATAAAGAACAATGAATTACCCCCCACACTAATTTCTTCTTTCTTTTTTGAGTCACCAGACTTCCAGACTTACAGTTCAATTATATCACAAAATTGGAAAACCATTTACAGAATCAAAAAAAAAGAATGATTTAATCAGATGTTCCTATGCAGTTTAACTGTACTAAACCATGCACACGTAAATTTGTGGCAGTTAAATACGCTCCTTGACGTAATCATATCTTAGAAATATGCATATATAGTCAAACGACTTCTGTTTTGTTTATCTACCACGTGAGAAGAGAAAGCCCACTGCACCACGCCTTTTGCTTGTCACATTTGCATGAAGGAAAATAAGTTGAAATCCCTCAGAATTGTTAATTACTTTTCTTTTTGGTTCTATTTTTTAGATTTATTTTTTTTATTCTTTTTTTTGGCTTTTTAAATTTGTGTGTCAAAATCTTTCTCTAAATTTTGATAGGATGCATATGAATACATGTACTGGGTGGGAAATATGCAGGAGATACAATAGGAAAGAAAAAACGCGCCTTTAGTTGTTTTTTTATTAAATACATTTCGTATATTTCGCAATTTTTACTCTTTTGGTTCTAAATTGTTCATCGTTTAGGCATTGCAGTTCATTTGATAAAGAAATAGCGAGCTAAGAGTTTAATCACGCCATTGTAGAACGGGATGGGCGGGGCGTCGTCTTGTTTTCGGATCGGACCGCCAAAAGACAGACCACATTTTATTCAAGAAGTCAGCATGTGGGTCCGTTGACCCATTCAAGTGCCAATATTACTCAACATCATTGAATACGCATACCATATATATCATTCACTTTCTCTTCAACTCCCATATTAAGTTAACAACTTTAAATTTTACATACAACTCAAGTTGGAATAAGTGAGTATTCTTATTACCTGTCTAGGTCCTGCTGAACGGAATTGTAAGAAACATACAACCCCGCAGAACGGGTTTATTAATAATGATTAATAATATTTAAATCGACTATAAATTTTATACACTAAATTCCCCCCACCCCCTGAAAAAACACGGGCTATGTCTATAAACTCAGCTTTAAATTCTTTAATTGATTTAATACAGCAACTTTAGCAGTTCCTCCAATAGCATTTCTTCTTTCAACACAAAGTTCAAAATTAAACACTTCTTCTTTAACATCATCACCGAATCTAGAATCAATATTCTTGAATTGTTCCAAACTTAATTGATCAATACCAGACAAGTTCAATTCTTCAGCCATTCTAACACATTCACCAGAAATATGATGGGTTTCTCTAAATGGGACTCCCCTTCTAACTAAATAATCAGCCAAATCAGTAGCTAACATATCCATAGTTAATGCATTTTCCATTTTTTCTTTATTAATTCTCAAAGTACTAATGACACCAGTTGCTATCAAGACAGAATGTTCAACAGTAGTTAAGGCATCAAATAAAGGTTCCTTGTCTTCTTGCATATCTTTATTATAAGTAGATGGAATTGATTTCAATGACATTAAGAATCCAGATAATGAACCAAATACTCTTCCGGATTTTCCTCTTAATAATTCCAACGAATCAGGATTCTTCTTTTGTGGCATTAATGAACTACCTGTAGAATATGCATCAGCTAACTTAATAAAATCAAATTCTCCACTTGAATAAATAATCAAATCTTCACTGAAACGAGATATATGATTCATGAACAAAGTACACCAAAACAAAGTTTCAACTACAAAATCACGATCACTGACTGCTGTTAAGGAATTTCCAATCACGCTAGAGAATCCTAATCCCTTAGCCAAAAATTCACGATCAATTCCATATGGATGTCCAGCAAGAGCACCTGATCCTAATGGACATTGATTAACACGTTCTTGAATTTGTTGAAGACGCTTATAATCTTCAGTGAAATAGGTAGCATAAGAACTTAACCAATGAGCCCATCTAATAGGTTGAGCTCTTTGAAGATGAGTATACCCGGGCATGAGGACATCAATTTCAGATTCAGCACGAGCAACAATAGCTTGAATGAAATTCCCCAATTTGGAAATCAAATCAGTTAAACGATCACGAACATAGATTCTCATATCGGTTGCAACTTGATCATTTCTAGAACGACCAGTATGGACTTTCCCAGCAATTTCACGTCCGATTATTTCACCTAATCGACGTTCATTGGCAGTATGGATATCTTCATCACCTGGTTTTTCTACAAATGTACCACTGGCCCATTCTGTATGGATTTGGTCGAGACCAGTGTGGATTTTTTCGAGTTCGGAAGGTGTAAGGAGACCAAGCTTGGTGAGACCTTCGGTATAGACTTTTGTACCTTGAATATCAGCGGAATACATGATTTTATCATAAGGAAGGGAGGCATTATAAAGGTCCATCAATGGGTCAGTGGCCCCGGTAAAACGACCACCCCATAATTTTGTTTCGCTTGGTGCTGCAGCCATATTGTAATTGATTGTTATAGTGTCAAGAGGAAGTATGAAGAGACATAAAAAAGAAGAAGTGAAAAATTTTTTTTTTCTTCGGTGGGAAGAAGGAGGAATCTCAACCGCGCTAAACAAAATTTGATAATTCCAATTGCCTAATTGGGCTAGATGACTCAGAAAAATAAGCCTAGTCGTGGAAATTGTTCAAAATATTCCTAATTGATCAAAATTCGGCGGAACAACGTAGCCCATTTCATCAATAAGATTACATTGAAATATTGACGATTGTAATAAAGGTTAGATAATCTCAAGAATAACACGATAAGGATCTTGCATTCAAACTTGTGAAAACTGTCTTCTTTTAAGATCAGTCATCTAAATTTGTGGCCTTAAAAGCAACAACTGCAATTCCTTCTATTACTGTAACACACTCATTTAATTGTAATGAATGATCGTGGCAGTTATTGAAAGAAGAAGAATGACGAAAGAAACACAAATAAAATGCAAGTTTTCTAAAGGATTTATAAAGATAATTTATATACTTCCGTAATTTTTTTTTGTTCAAATTTTGCAGCCAAAGCTGTTTATTCATCTTACGGAGTTTCTCCACAAAATTTTTGGTTTGCAACCCATTATACTAGCAACTTTTGTATACAATTATATTTAAGCGTACTAA